CGAGGGTGGGGAACGCAGCCGTGCTGGATGGGTTCCTGTTACACGACACGGCGACGTGAGTTTCAAGGGCATTCTAGATGGCGACGGCCCCTGTTTTGTAAATTCGCGATTTCCCCGAATTTCACCACCGTATGGAACAAAGAAAACAATGTTATCATCGCTACCGGTGCCGGTGTTCGGAAAACTTCTCTATCGATAAATTCTCATGGTAGTAGCGAATCAACATGGAGTTGAATGGTTAGAAGAATAGTGGTATCTCAGCTCATATTTTTCTGAATTTACTTCAGAATTTTCGGTGATGTCTGTTCGATGAGAGGAGGTGTTTTCGTCGACTACTAGACACCTATGATGACTTCGTAAATCCCAAGATGATATGCTAGCTCAGTCTCTCAAAGATGTTCAGGGGTAGGGTGTGCAGCGGGGCCCTCTCTCCTCTCCGGGTGTGGAGGTTCGATCGATGATGCCCGTTCAGTAAGAGGAGACGTTCTCGTCGACTTCGAGACGCCTATGATAACTCCGTAAATCTCAAGATGATATGCTGGCTCAGCCTCTTGAAGGTGCTCAGGGGTAGGGTGTGCGGCGGGGCCCTCTCTCCTCTCCAGGTGTGGAGGTTCGATGTCGGCCAACGATCTCAGGTGGAGGCACTGGGGCGGAGCTCGGAGGCAGGCAGTCTTCGGTTCTTCATCCTGGTTGTGGAGGACTGGTCGCGGCGGCGGCCGGCGGGAGCACTGCCCAGATCTAGCCGTTGGGATCCAGGGGATCCTCACTGTGTTTTGGCCCTGCTGTTCTTCGATCTTCAAAACTTCGATTTGCTCCGGCCTCCTCGATCTGGATGCCGACGAGTTCCGGTCTTCCTGTCAGAGATCTCGGCTCTTGGCGCATGGCGTCATTGGATATCTGCATCGGAATTGACCTGGTTGGGCGATCCCTCATATTCGGCCAGAGAGGCTTCATGAGGGCATGGCATGAAGCTTCATTGTCTTGCCGTGTCATGGGGCATGTCTAAGTATAAATTTCCACAGTGTTGATAATGTTGAAGAAAGTCATGGTGGAAGCGATCGAAGACTTGTAATGGCGTAGAGGAGTTTTGGTCGCGTTGATGAATAGCGGCACAGGGTTTTTCCTTGTGTGTCGGATGTTGAGGACTTGCAGCAGCGGCCTTGATAGGAGGGGGCGACAAGATAGGTAGACAACATTTTTTGGGGTGCTTCTCGAGTACAAAGCCACAATCTCGAGGGTGAAAGCCCAATGTTTGGCCTTCATTGGTTGGACCTGACAATGGTCTTGCGAAGGCATTGTTTTTGGGATCTCGAACTCTCTTTCAGAGTGAAAACTCAAGATCTTTGATCACGCAATGACAACGCTTGCGCATTGTTTCCTTTTTGGAGGCGTATTTTTTGAAAAACTTTTTTATAGTCGAGGTGTTGTCTTTGGTAGTGGTTAAAGTGTTGTTGTTGCGAGTGTTTCATCACTACGATTAGGTCTTTGTTTTTTACTTTTCCTTTTTTTAGTTTTGTTATTGGTCGTGTACATTTTTGATGTTTTTTGATATCTTGTAGGTGCAGAGACTGGGTGTAACTGGTATCTTCGCGGACGCGGTTGTTCTGCTCGCGAGCACAGGAGCACAGGTGAGCCCTTTATCCCCACGGTTCGACAATGCTTGGGGATGCGTAGCGTGGAATAAGTGAGCCAGCTGATCGATCTTTTTTAATTCAGGATGGCAAGGGATACGGTATGGAGGTTCGCCGTCCGCCGCACCGGTGACGGAGGCCGCAGCTGGCGCCGTGACGGCAGATTCCCGGAGCCGTGGCTCGGGACGCTGTTGTACTCCCGATCCGTAGCTCAGGAACTGAGCACTCCGGTAAGCCGAGCTGTGGACCGTAGTAAATGAGGAAGCAGGCCAGGGCGGTGCTGTCTCCCACCTCTCTCCACGTTTTGTTGGATCGCCATTGACGCCCCGCGGAGGTCGGCGGTGCAGGGAAAACAGGGCGGCGACTGTCGGGCTGGAGTTCCTGATGCAAACTATTAGGAGGTAACACAAATCCCCCGCTCTCCCAACCCCATCCTCCCTTCCCCCTTTCTGCTTGTGGTTTCTGCATTGGATCTCTGTCTCTGAACCAAATTCAAAGAATTTGTTTGGTCGCAGCGCCGCGGTGATGGAAGAGGTCAACGACAACGAGCTACCAATGGAGCCGCTGCACTACCCCGCGGTGGCGGCAGGAGCCGAGGAGCTACGGCCAATGGGCACAGGTCGCGTTGACGGCGAGATCTGTGTAGCTCATGGAGCAGTTGCATCCGAGCAGGATAAGGAACCACAAGCATCTGAGCAATCAATTGGGCAGATGATCCAAAAACTCCGGCTGGACTCGCAGGTAATATACTGGTTAATGGTGTATACATTGCAGATTGTTTGTCCCGATTTTAGTTGTACTTTGAATCCCATCAGCTGACGTGCGCGTAGGCTGGTCAGTTATGCAGTAACCTGTAGACACATAATTTCAGAACATTGGAATGATTGTGTACAAATTTCTTTGCAACGATTGTGTGCTTTATTCGTGGCAAGTGATTTACGTAGTAGCATCAAGCCATCAATGCATGATTAAGAGAAAGCAGTTCAGTCGATTAGATAGCGAAATTGAGCTGAAATCTTGAAATCATGGGACACCGAGATGCATAGTGTACTGAAAATCGAGCTTGGTCAATATGGTGAAAATAGGGTGAAAAGTCATGCAAAGAAATTTAATTTACACATATTGGGGAATATGAAAGTCAAGAAATAATTGAATTTGTAAGACATTAGGTTGGACATAATTAAACACGAGGGTATGTGACTAGGGTAGTGGATAACTAACATGCACAATAATGGATAAAACCATAATTCAGTTGGTATGCTTGTGAGAAGCATTTGTACTTCGGTACAAAATCCTATAGATTGTGGCTGGTGAAAATGAGGAACTAGATTGCATCTTAATGTATTCATAGGGATCTTGTTCATGACACTAGAATGGATATGGCGTAACATATTGATTTATTGAAATACAGAGTTAGAATTGGAGCTGCTGCTCCAGGAAGGGTGCCTTGCCCTGGCTGACCCAGCGCCCTTGAGAAGGCAATACGGGAGTTCGGTGACAAACCATGCAACATTGTAATCGTGCCAGAACTGGGTACAAGCTTCGACAAGCTCGAGGAGGCCTATGATTTTTATTTGCAGGGTAAAGCAGGGGTGGAAACACACTAGATCATGCAGATGTGTGTACCCTGCATTAATAAGACTGCTTCGATCAAAGGACAATGATTGGTACATAGCTGAGCATCGAGAACATCACAACCATTCACTGTCTCCAACATATGGGCAGACAATACACTGGCCTTCCCACAAGCACATTGATACATACAATGGAGATTTGGTGGAGCAGCTGCGTCAGAACAATGTCAATCTAGCCAAAGTGCATAGCATAATAGGAAGCTTTTTTGGTTCAATGGAAAAGGTGCCATTCACGAAAAGAGCTTTGAAAATTTTGTGTGAAAAAATCAGCAGAGAGCAAGCAGAGAATGATGTGAGGAAAACTATGGAGGTTTTTGCAGGTCTGGGTTCAAGGGACCCACACTTCACTTATCGTGTGCAGGCAGACAAGGATGGTCGGATAACAACTCTGATGTGGGCAAACGGGAGCATTAGATTGCAGTACACCTTCTTTGGAGACGTTTTTACCTTCGATACAACATACAGAACAAATCTGTACAACATGCCGTTTGGTCTGTTTGTAGGAGTGAATAATCATTTCCAGAGCATCATCTTGGCTGGGGTTTTGGTCCGTGATGAAAAAGTGGAGACTTTTGAGTGGGTTTCCACATAATGCGTTAGGATGATGGCTGGAAGTGCACCAAAGACAGTTCTAACATGTCAGAACCCATATTTTAGAAAATGTCTGTGTGACAACTGTGTAAAAATGATGTTGTTTTGGCTAATATCATATTTGGTGTTGTGCAGATCAAAACCGTGCGATGGAGGTCGCCATAAAAAATGTGATGCCTCAAACAGCACACTGATGGTGTAAGTGGCACGTGCTGAAAAAGGCGAAGGAATCACTCGGTTCATTGTACACCAAGAAGAGCGAGATCAGGGCACAGTTCCACAAGGTAGTAAATCACATGCTTGCGATCGATGAATTCGAGGAAGCATGGAAGATACTGGTTGAGAAATGTAATTTAAAGACGCATGACTACATCACTCAACTGTATGAAATAAGACACAAGTGGGCGAAGCCATATTTCAAAGGTGTTTTCTGTGCTAAGATGACAAACACCCAATGCAGTGAAAGTGCAAACCACATGCTGAAGAGCTATGTCCCACCTGGTTGTCTGATGCATATGTTTGTCAAAAAATACATGAGACTACAGTTTGACAGGGAAGCTGAGGAGAACTACAAGGAGAAGCGGACACGAATAGTAAGTCAACGTTTGGTAATTGCCACTAGTTTTGTAGTGCTGACCTCTACGTTTCAGGGTAGAACACTATACAAAGCAAACTTAGCTATTGAAAGACATGCTGGTAAGATATAGACACGTGCTATGTTCGAGCAGTTTGGACATATACTCTATGAGTGCGGTGCATACCAAGTTGAGGAGCTTGAGAAAGGGAAACTGTATCTTGTGATTCATACAGAGGCTGCAAGGAGAGAAAAGTGGTGTAGGGTGTCATATAAGGTAAATGTTCTTGAAGGAGGTGAGGAATTCGATTGCGAGTGTGGGCAATTTGCACACATGGGACTCCTTTGTAGCCATGTTTTGAAGGTATTGTTAGTACACAAATCAAGCATGCGTTGCCAGATACATATATATTCTGTGAAGTATGTGGTAAACTAACTAACCAAATTGAACTGTGCAGGTGATGGATTTCATTCGTATTACAGAGACACCACCGAAACACATTGTGAAGCGATGGACGAGGGATGCGTGTGATGTGCTGCCAGCCCATCTGACTCAATACCAGAGAGATCATGCACACAAAAATACAACCACCAACAGCAGCTGCTGTGAGTGGGGGTGCAGGCATCGAGGCAGTGAATGATGATGCTACTTCTGGAAATGAGACTGGGAACAGACACACTAGTTTATTGGCGCCGAAGAAATGGAAAGAAATGGGGCGCCCAACAACCAGCCGGGAGAAGGCACCGTACGAGGGACTCAGCAAGCGGACAATGTTCTGCAGCATATGTCGGCAGCAGGGGCACAAGAGGACTACATGCCTGGACTGGGGAGATGCCCTGAAGCCTGTTTGTAAACCAGCAAGGTGCAAGAATTGTGGGATTGAAGGTCATAGACGGAACAACTGCCAGAAATTGGGTGATTTACGGATGATTGGCTTGTGAGGAGGTGCAGCAGACTATGTACTTAAGACAATAATTCTGTAGAGCTTAATGTGTGCAACTGTAGTTCCATGCTATAGAATTATAGGCACCACCATTTCTGAGCACTATGGTGGTGTATATGCTTCCGAATTTTTGGGCAATAAGTTGGAGTTCATAATTGGAAAACATAATAAAAATTTACTAAGGTGAAGTATACTGAATTTTGAAGCACTACGGTAGTGTCTACATTTCTGAATTTTTGGGCAATAAGTTGGAGTCCATAATTGGAAAATATAATAAAAATGTACTGAGGTGAAGCATACTGAATTTTGAAGCACTACAGTAGTGTCTACATTTCTGAATTTTTGGGCAATTTGTTGATGTCCAGAATTTGAAATTTTTATAATTAAAGTTCTGATTTTCTGAATTTGTAAGCAATATGGTGGTGCATACTGAATTTCTTAGCACGATGGTGGTGCCTATAATTCTATAGCATGGTGCACAGGCAGAGTCCTCTCTCAGAGTCTGGCCATTTTTTTTGAAATGGGAGTCTGACCATTAGAAACACACTGTTCTTGCTGGATTGCAAAATCAGATCCATCTCAGAAGCTGGATGGAGTATCCGCAGAGGTTAGTCTCTTATGGATCTAATCTCGGTTTAACAAGCGTTGGAAGGAACTTCTTGCTTAAATGTGTAGAATAGGTGCAGGTATCTGATGCATCTGAAAAGTTCACTCAACCAGCCTGACGGAGGAGAACTAGCTGCTAGTTCATCAAGGAGTGTCTGCAGTGGTTGGGCAGGTAAGACTGCGGGAGACGTAGGTTGCTAAGAATCCATAACCTGGTTTTACTACCAAATTGGTTGTGCTGATGACTTGCCTTCAGCGGACGGCGCGTGCAAACGAGGAACTGCAAGCGGAGAAGATAGGGGTTGGATGTATATCGCGAGGAAGAAGACGGGTAGACTGGTGGTGGGCGCTGGTCCGCAATAAATGGTTATCAGACGGCGTCGGCTCAGGATCCGCGCTATACCGGCCTAGTTCGCTGGTGCACGTCTGAGCCAAAGCCCACTTAGCTGACGGCGTATCAAGCCCGTTACAAGAGGCATGGGCCCTCATAACTGTTCACCTGGTGATATACGGGAATAATACCTGGGCTTATACCGGATGGATTGGGGATCACGAGGATTGTGGGCGGGTAGGATACCAAGAGCGCCTGTGCTCGGGCACAGAAGATCACTTTCGGTATCTTCGCGATATTGATATATTCTCTTTTTTAAAAAATAAGGTGTGCTTGTGTGCATAGTGTATGTGCGTATATATGAGTGATCACGTTTGTACTGTGTTAAAAAAAACTCTCATTACAGTATAAAAAACATAAAAAGAAAGGACTGTGCTCTGGTCGTTAGCGGCAGATCCGGACGATATCTCCTCTCCCCTAATCAAGCATGCACATTGCATGCAAACTTCCCTCGCGTGCACGCACATGTGGACTCTTTGTGTTGGACATAGTTGCATGCAGAAAAAACAAAAAAACTGACGTCACCAAAGATTTCATCTAAAAATAGAATTCAAAATGTTTTGTAGCTCAAACCGTCGCTTCGATTGAAAACTGTTTTCATATAAAAGATTCGTAGCGACGAGATCTACGAAACTAGATCCCATGTTGATACATTCCGATGACTTTTTTTCTGGTAAAAAGTTACCACATGTGCTACATAAGTTATCATGCCTGTGGTGCATAAGTTATCATGTTATTTACATAGAAATTACCCAGACATAAAAAGGTTCCTCCAACCTTCTCTTCACAAGCACATGCGTGCATGCATTAGAGAGAATTTTTTTAAGTCATCCTAGTCCTCCCTGTTCGAAACTTTAAAATGTTTTACGACTCAAAACCGTTAGTCTGATAGAAAAGTCGTTTTCAAATATAAAATCCATCACGACGAGACTTTCGAAACTAGATCTCATGTTGATATGTTCTGACGACTTTTCTTCATGCAAATAGTTACAATTGGGCTAAGTAAGTTATCAGGCCTGACGAGTGTCTATTATCATGTTATTTACACATGAGTTACCGTGATACATTTTCAACAACATGAGTAGTTATCGGGGAGGGGGGAATTGTTTTCAAACAACTTCCTCCCCTCCAACCACCCCTGAATCAAACTTACCGTAGTATTTATATGTAAGTTAACACCCCCCCCCCTCCTGGGTAAAGTTATCATGGCGTTTGCGCTTGAGTTGTCAGAGTTGTGGTGTGTAAATTGTTATGCTATTTATGCTGAAGCTATCGGGGATGTCTTCAACAACTTTTTCTCCCGGTTAAAAGTTATCACGGTGTTTGTGCATGAGTTATCAGGTCCGTGCTGTGTAAATAATCATGCTATTTATGCAGAAGCTATCGGGGGTGTCTTCAACAATTTTTTCTCTTGGGTCAAAGTTATCACGGTGTTTGTGCATGAGTTATCATGTCTGTGATGTGTAAATTATCATATTATTTTCGCATAAGCTACTAAGAGTGTATTATACCACATGCAACCAGATAACTACGAAAATGAACCATGTTGATAACTATAGTACATTTGGCCCGATAACTGCATAGTAACCATATTGGTAACTATAGTACATCTAGCCCGATAGCTACAAATAACCATGTTGGTAACTATAATACATCTAGCCCGATAACTACAAAATAACCATGTTGGTAACTATAGTACATCTAGCCCGATAACTTCAAGAAGCTACCGCCGTCTCGTCTTCATGAGCTGGACACAAACCCTAGCAAAACTTAAAGCATCAAAAAACAGAGCCCTCCCGCCGGCAAGCGCCGGGATCCACTGCGCACCCATGGCAATAACGCCACCGGTGACGTGGTAGATCGACGGCGCTGCCGACGGGAGGTAGAAATCCTAGCCGCCTTTTCGTTCGTTGAAGTGAGACCCGTAGGATTGCATGACATTCTTATGTTATTTGCATAGGAGTTGCAGAGATATGTTTCTAACTTTTTTTTCAGGATCGAAGCTATCATGATGTTTGTACGTAAACTATCAGGTCTGCGATTTATAAAATATCGTATTATTTTCGTAGCAGTTAATAGTGTATGTTGTAAACAACTTTTCTTTCCGGATCAAAGTTACCGTAGTATTTCCACATAAATTAATGGGACCGCAGTGCGTAAAAATAGTGTATGATGCATCAAAGAAATCTATGAGAAAAACAACCCTAGAAGTATCCATGTATATACAATCAAGAAAAAAAACTTTTGCATACGATGTTTTATGTATGACGTGCATATGATTGTATAAATTATTTACATAAGGATTTCATCTAACAGTGATTAGTTAGTATGGCACATGCATCAAATGCAAAAGATATTGGATATGCGCTGGTAGTTGAAGACAACGAGTTCAAAATAGTTGATCGCTTCATATTAGACAACAAAAACGTTTGGTTGAGATGGTTCTCCCGATCAGCTCACTGTTGGAAGAGCAAAGTTCGATTCCTGCTTAATGACCGTTGAACGCGAGTCTCGCGCGGCAGTGATGCCTCATACGAGGACGTTTCCTTTCAAATCGCTAACCGCCCGTCCTAGCCGCTGGATCGCGATCGCGCGACTAAAAAGTCGTTTGGATCTGTTACAAACGTCCAGTCGGACGGATTTTAGCTTTCTCGAAAAAGAAATACTTCCTTCGTTCCCTTATATAAAGTCACAAACTCATGTTACAGATACCAAAATAAATTTAATAATTACTTGCAAGCCAATTTTTCTTTTTTATACCGGGTGCATTAACACATCCTGAGCATGGTGTTATCTGTCTGGCCGCAATCATGTGTGTACTTATGCGAGTCTTCAACGGTGACACGCGATCGAGGAACACTATGTATCAACTAATCATATGTTTTAGTATCATGCATATGAGACCGTATCAAGCACGCAACAATGCACATTTATGTAAATACAATACACTAGAGAGAGAGGTAAAGAGTACGCACACAATTACTATGGAGCTCAAACTGGTCCAAAGAGATCAAGACACTAGGCATACAAGCACTAACATAATTGAAAAGATCGATATGGTCTACTAGAGGGGGTAAATAGGCGACTAACAATTTTTAACTTCTTTTGCAAATTATGGCTTGACAAGAAAATATGTTGTCTAGATATGCAACTAGATGAACAACCTATATGACAAGCACAAGGTACAAAACCGATATAAGCTTGCACAAAGTAAAGGTAAGAAATAATCGCAAATGGAGACGATAAAGACGAGGATGTGTTATCGAAGTTCCCTTCTTTTGGGGAAGGTATGTCTTCGTTGGAGCGGTGTGAAGGCACAATGCTCCCAAAAAGTCGCTAAGGCCACCGTATTCTCCTCACGCCCTCGCACAAATGCAAGATGTCGTGAATCCACTAGTGGTGTCCTTGAAGGTGGCAACCAAACCTTTACAAACAATGTTGGGACTCTTTCCACAACTTAATTGGAGAGTCCCAGCACCACCATGAAACTTCATCATAATGGAATGTGGCTTCAAGGTGACCTCTTCCATATAGGGTGCCCAAACACCCAGGAATAACAAGATCTGCAAAAGATTAGTGGGAAAAATCAAATTTCTATTGGTGGAAGTGTAGGTCAAGGCCTTCTCCTCCAAGCCCTAGAGAATCAATAAGTTTTAATGGCTAGGGAGGGAGACCAGACGAGTTTGAGCTTTAGGGCAACAATGAAGCAACGTGAATAAGAGGTAGGTCTTCTTGGGAAAAACACCTCCTTTATTTAGTGGAGCTCAAATCCAACTGTCATGTCCACGAGTATTGAACCAATACAAGAACGGTAATTTCACCGAAGCAGTACTACCGCCTATGACCAGCAGTACTACTGCTAATTGTCAAAGTATAGCCGAACAAAAAGCGGTCGAACGAGCGGTGCCAGCGCGGAAGTACCCATGAGCAGTACTACCATTGCACTACCGTGGAACTATTGCGAATTTGCTCAAGGATAACAAAAGAATTTGCCCAAGCGG